TTTTCCAGGTACTCTCGATAGACGGTGTACCAGTGACACACATGACTCGGCTGGATTGCGTGAGGCGACTGAAGGAGTCGCAGCTGGTTATCAAGCTGATGGTTAGGTGCAGAGGAGCGCTAAGGCCGGAGGTGGTGAGCGCCGAGAAAAAGAGCTCCCCGGAGAGGAGCAAAGTGCCGCCCGAATTGCCCTCGGTGCCACCACCCGTGCCGCCGCGGAAGCTGAGGCAAGCCCGAGGCTTGGCCGACGGCGAGGCGAACCCGAGTCCTGTGAAGAAATCCTGGAGCGGATCCAGGTCGCAGAGCAGCTCGTCGCAGAGTAGTTCGCAAAATGGCTCGCCAAGCTCGCAGCCTGCCAATCAGCTCGACAGCAAGTCGACCTCGTTCGAGAGCTGCGAGTCTTCCCCGAGGAGCAACGGGTCCGTGCTTCAGGAAAGCCCGAAGGCATCGCCCAAGGAACGATCGCCGGAACTCGCGAAATCCAAGCAGGTAAAATTCTTCTATACCATGCTTCTATTATACGAGTGATCTTCTCTTTCGAGATATAATATATCCTCATTCTGTCGCCTCGACCCACCCGTAGGAACCTCCCGAAGCGATGGTGTACATGGACGCCAGGTCTCAATGCGGCTCGACGCACGGAAGCACGTCGGACGACACGGGAAGTTCGATGTCGACGGTGATCGACCGATTCTCAACCACCTCGGACCGAGTGTCCACCATTTCAACCGTCTCGACTGCCTCCACCGCCTCCGAACAACCGGGCGAACAATCCTCACGAGTGGATCAGGACTTCGATCGATCCTCGGACCGCGACTCGCAACCGTCCAAAGCGATCTACTCGTTCGAGAACCTGTCCGACGACTACCAATCGTCCAACCCGACCCCTGACTATCTCCTCCGTCGTTTGGCTAGCTCCGAAGCGGTGACCCACGTGGAGTCCCGGGGCGAGGTGGAGAAGATCACGGCGGTGGTGGCGCCGAACACGGTGCTGATCGAGGAAACGATCACGTTTCAGCCGCCGTTGAGCTTCCAGGACGCGCCGTTGAGCTACGGCCACGAGGCCAGGCCCGATCTCTTCTACACGGCCGACCTCGCCGCCGACTCGACCACGCATTTCAGGCCAATTAAGGACGACGTGGAGCTCGTCGAGCGCGTCAACAGCGTCCACTGCGAGGAATACCAGCCTGCGGCCACCGAGTCTGTTGCGGCGAAGCGCAAGGAAACGAGCAGCAGGACGCCTCCGCCTCTGCCGGCCAGGAACCACGTGAACAGGATCACGGTCAATCAACCGAACAGCGACTCGCGTTCCCAGAAACCGTCCGACCAATCTTCCAACAGCGAGACTGCACCTGTTCTACCGCCCAAGCCGCTGCCCAGAAGGGACGTCAAGATCAGACGGAAGAGGCCACCCCCGCCACCGCCGCCACCCGCGATCCTGCCGCGAACCGAGATGAAACCGTCCTCGTTGCCCGAGTCCAGGCAAACGAGCTTCGAGAAGGAGGAGGACGACCAGCCCGACGTCGCAAACGCTAGCAAACTCGACGAGCTTGCTCGCGTTGTCAGGGCGAAGCTCTGCGAGGACAGGTCGAAGACAGACTCGGAGACGATGTCGCGAAACCTGGCGGACGAGGTTACAGACACGGACAAGAAGAGAAGAGAGGCCGAGGAGACCGACGACACCGAGTCCATGGAGAACTACGATCCTCGGGAGGACGAGGGATTCAGGACGAACAAGGTGTTGGAGATCATCGAGATACGAAAGGCGAGGGCGTTCTCACCTCGCGGGACGAACTCAACGTCGCGTGACGAGAAGGGCAAATGCGTTGCGAACGATAACGCGAGCAAAGCAAATACTAACCATCAGGAGCCAGAGCTTAGAGCTTCGGTCAGCTCGGCCTCGACCGAGACGGAGGATTCTGACGACGAGGGCGAACAGATCACAAAGTTCAACGAGTCCATAGACGAACTGGAGGACAAGCAGCAGTCGGTCGGATGCGAGGGATTCGACCGATCGAGAGAGATCGATCCGCCCGAAGTTAAGAGCGAAGACACGTCGCTCGGGCGACGAGAGAGCAGCGGCAGCGAGGATTCTTACCGATCGTGCAACGATATCAGCTGTGCCCAGAGCAACAACGAAATTACGGACGAGGAAGACACGAGCGAAGAAAGCGACGAAGGGGATTATTACTGGCAGAGCAACCTTGCGACCATTGGCGAAGAGGAGGAGACCAATTCCCTCGAGTACACGAATCCGTGAGTCTTCAGCTTCGTTTGCGTTCTCACCCTTTCCCTCTCACTCTTCACGTCAAATGTTAGTTATTGGAAGGCAAAGCATCGAACACGTCATACCTGTACAATTCGTATTTATTCATTCCTTTCGAAGAATTGAAATTGAAAATTCACATTTCGGATCGAAAGTGTAATTATAATACCACGGGGTTAAGTATTATAACTCGAAACTTGTAAGACGTAAAGCGTCGAAAATATTATACAATTGGTATTTATTAATCCTCTCGAGGAATTGAAATTCAAAATTCACATTTCGAATCGAAAGTGTAATTATAATACCACGGGGTTAAGTATTATAACTCGAAACTTGTAAGACGTAAAGCGTCGAAAATATTATACAATTGGTATTTATTAATCCTCTTGAGGAATTGAAATTCAAAATTCAGTATTATAATTCATACGATTATTTATTAATCGTCAGTTCGAAGAATTGAATTGAAATTGAAAATTCGAAACGACAATTAAATAATACCACGGGTATGGCTCGATATTGTAACTGAAAGGATTAATCTTGTGAATCGAATCATCCTTTGTTACTGAGATTGTGTTACTGCGAATGTGACGAGCGTTTGAAAACTTCGCCGGTTAACTCGTCATTCCCGGTTGAGGAATAATTTACCTGCTATAACTTACCCCTTTCTAATGAACTTTCACTATAATTATCATTGAGCTAGTGTACCACGACGTGACCATAACAGACTGTTTATCTTCTTCCCTGGAAGTTATATTTTAAAATGTATCGTCAATCCCGCAGGGACCAAAATGAACTATATGTCGATTATATTTCGACACTAAATTAAATATTAGACACTAAATTAAATATTACACACTATTATATTAAATTAAATATTAGTATTAAATATTAGTACATACTAATATACAAATATTAGTATAAAAATTTAGTACAAATAGTACAGATATAAGTATTAAATATTAGCCCAAATATTAGTATTAAATATTAATACAGACTAATATACAAATATTAGCATAAAAAATTTAGTACAAATAGTACAGATATTAGTATTAAATATTGGTATAAATATTGGTACAGATATTAGTATTAAATATTAGTACAGATATTAGTATTAAATATTAATACAGACTAATATACAAATATTAGTATAAAAAATTTAGTATACAAATATTAGTACAGATATTAAATATTAGTAAGTATTAAATATTAGTAAAGATATTAGTATTGAATATTAGTACAAACTAATATACAAGTATTAAATATTAGTACAAATATTAGCATTAAATATTAGTACAGACTAATATACAAATATTAGTATAAAAAATTTAGTACAAATATTAGTACAGATATTAGTATTGAATATTAGTACAAACTAATATACAAGTATTAAATATTAGTACAGATATTAGCATTAAATATTAGTACAGACTAATATACAAATATTAGTATTAAATATTAGTACAGATATTAGCATTAAATATTAATACAGACTAATATACAAATATTAGTATAAAAAATTTAGTACAAATATTAGTACAGATATTAGTATTGAATATTAGTACAAACTAATATACAAGTATTAAATATTAGTACAGATATTAGCATTAAATATTAGTACAGACTAATATACAAAAATATTAGTATTAAATATTAGTACAGATATTAGTATTAAATATTAGTAAATATACAAATATTAGTATTAAATATTAGCACAGAGTATAATATACGCCACAATTCAACTATTTCTCGTTTCACATTTTGAAACATTCTGAAAAAAAAAAAAGAAAGAAAAACCGAAGAGATACGAGCGAACAGCGGGCAACACTTTGTTGTTAGTTGAAATGCTTACTTCGGATTCGAACTCCGGAGATGAAGGTTTTTAGGGTTGTACGATACATTTGGCGATAAACGTGTCGTTCAACTTTGCGAAACCAGTTCCTGCGAAAGAGGGAATAAAACGAAACCATCCGTACACAATGATCGGTCGCCAGACACTTCTCGATCTGCTACCTGATTCTACTCCAAAACTGGTGACTCGCATCGACCCATCGATGTGTACCATCTGACAGATTCTACCGGGATAGCTTTTTTATCCACACTGCGATAGTGCCTGCGTGGCAAGCAGTCTAAACTGCAAAATAAGGCGCGAGTTCGCAGTACATTAATTCACACAACTGCGGATCTTTGTCTTTAATTGCGAGCAAATTACGTTTCCATCCTGCTCGTCGTACCTGCGATTTATACTTGCAAAACGCCTTCAACACTCGTGTTTATTTATAGCGCGTTCGAGTCACGCCTTCCTCGATGCATAATTGAGTCATCGGGTCGTCTCGTATAATTTTGCGTTGGTCATTTCACCGACAAAGTCCGACACGGAGTTAGAGCAATTGTGTTTAACGATTGGCTCGTCGACACTCGGGTTGTTCAAAATCATTGATTAATTAAAAAGAGAGACAGAGTATGTGTAGCTCACTCTGGCGTTGGATCTATCTTTAACTTGTAATTAATTTAATCGGGAAACTCATCGGGACGAACAGTGATAATAGAAGTTTCCAGGTGGCATCAACGATCGACTCAGTAATATCAAAATCGATTGATCCCGCAGCGAGGCGAATTTATTTTATTAATTTTGTGAAAATGGAACACCATGGGGAAATTTCGGTCGCCAAACGGCGGCGAAAAGTTATTCGGCGTTATTACAACCCCCTTTACCTAATCCACTGACACTTTGAATATGAAGCTTTATTAAGAAGAGTGAATTGTCTCTGTTGTGCAACAGGAACAACGAAGAATTAAACGACAGCGAGGCGAGCGTCGCGGGGAAAGCAGAGCGAGAGGAATCGCCAGGCTCGATGGGAGACAAGTTCGATGCAAATGGTAAGTGCGAATAAAGTGACGTCTTCATTATCCTCTTCATTAGGCTGTTCCTAGTTGGCAAGAGTCCCTCGCCCGGCAAATCAAAAGCCGCCGGTTCGAGGTCAGTGGCGCAAACAATCGGTTCTATTAAAATATTCGCTCGACTCAGTCGATTAAAATCCATCCAGCCGCGCAGAGAAATGTTAGCGCCACTCGCGAATTCCCCTTAATTGGCCAGTTTCTTGCCTCGACTCTTGCTCTTGCCTTCTATCAGATGCTATTCGTTTAACCAACTTTGTCACTAGTACTACCGAGGTGGTCGAAATTTTTGTCAGGTATCTACACGCACAGATATTTAGATGATAATTTTTAATTAAATATTTAGGTATTATAGACGTATTAAAGAATGTAAGTTTTAAATCAAACAGTGAAATTTCTACTTCTCGTTCGCAACAGTGTATATTTTAAACGACCGACATATGAAATACGCGAATAAAAGCTCGCGCGTCCCATTGTATTTCACAGCTTTTCCTTTTCTCCCACTTTAATATCTCCGATGAAAATTCGGTTCTGGCGTTGAGGAAAATGATCGTAGAGAAAAGAAAGTAGAAAAAGTAGGAGAAATGAGAGAAGTTGGACCCCGCCTGCGCACGCAAGAGCCATCGGGGCGAAGGAATTCGCAGCAGAGCAGCACGCCCACGCCCCGCGTATTCCGTGCATCCGTTTGCCTGGCGGTTCGTCGCAAAGCGTCGTCGCGCTTCATAAAGGTTACGCATTAATCTCTTAGAGCGGTGCGTTACGGTTGCCGCTAGGCTTCTCCCGGTTTCGCCAGCGAGCATTCAAAACGGAGGCAAGCTCTCGAGCCGAGAGACAAAGGCGTGTTTTGCCTGGGCGCACCTTCGACACGAGGAATTCCTCGGCTGCTCGACGAGCTCGATCCACACGCCGAGAGCAGATCCGCCGCTGCTATTCATTGTCCGCCAAAGATGGATCGCGGACTTACGTGGGAAATCGAAGGCCCGCTGGTGATCGGCGTGGCGAGCACGACCGTCTCTTACGACCTCTTGCAAACACGCTAAAAATATCCCTCGCGGCTGTCGCTGCGATCAACGTTGAACTGCAGCGAACTCGGCAGTTCTACGCGGTCCCCCGGTTACAAAACGTGCACATAACAATCCTTATTCCCTTTGCTCTCGACTAGAGAAAAGCTCGCAGCAACTCGGACTTTCCTCGCCTTTTATAGCTACGTGATTGCGTTGGAATGACGTGCCACGCACGTCCCAAAATTGCGATATTGTCTCAGTTTTAAATATATTTAAATATACCAGGCAAAACAAATAATAAATTTATTACTTCTTAGTAATAATTTCTCGTCCTAAGTGATATCATACCGATGAATTCAAAAAGAAAACGACGAATTATCGTGTACGGTTTGGTCACTCGTTATGGTCCGCGAACCAGTTGCCAACGTAAGAGGTTAAGAGGGGTGGTGTATTCTACGAATTGGCATCGAAAGGAAAAGGAAGAGCGTCAATTTTTCTCGGTTTTAAATATATTTAGATATAACCCAGGCAAAACAGATAATAAATTTATTGCTTCTTAGTAATAATTTTTCATCCTAAGTGATGTC